GTCCTGGGTCTCCCTCCACCAAGTTGCTGGGGCTGAAGGCAATGACCGTCTACAATGTCTGGGCATTGGATGCTGACAACAGAGGTTCGTCGTGTACAAGGGAGAATTAGACCTGGCAAAAATAGTCCCCCTACCTAGAGGAATCCAAGGCAAATGGGCCAAAATGCTCCCAGTTCTCAACAGTGTGGAAGTCACCACTATTCTTCAAAGGGGACTTTAGAAGGGGCCTTCAGGGAGCCGTGGCAGTGACCAGAATGGGGTAAGCAGCAGAAAAGACACAACCTCTAAATCCACCAGAGATGCTTGCTGACTAGATGTTTCTTATTAGATCATACATGTTATGTTGTTTAATTTTACATAGGATTTTATAGACTCTGCCTCCTGAGCTCACAGGCATGGACACAACATGTTGATTTTCTCTTTGGGGAGTTGGGAGGTAGATAATCTCCAACCTGGGATGTTGGATAGCAGCCAGTTTAATTGGCAGATGCCCCCCTCCCCCAAGAGGTGCAAATCAGAAAATCCATGAAGTGCTGCTGGTTTCAGATTCTATCTTACTGAAAATAAACCAAAGGTCTCAAGAATCAATTGGAAAGTGTTGGATTATGTTCAGCATTCAGCGAGGCACCAAATGGATTATCCAAACCACTTTGTGCCCTGAATTGTTTTTTAAATTTGGTTTACAGAGATAGACTTGAAGAAATCGTTAGGTTCAACATAGCTTTGTTAAAATATGTGTGTGTGCGTTTGTGTGTGTGTTTGTCCCTTTATAATTATCTGTATAATCAGCACTATCCCCATCTCTTAAGAAAACTAAGATCACCTTGAGCACACATCTGGGTTTCCTTTGGGTGCTAAAGCTACATATTAGCATTTTTCTTTTAAAATTAACAAATATGTATACCATCTGTGACATCCAGCTTTTAAAGCAGATGTTATAATTTGATCATCACACTTGATAGATGTCTGTCTGGGTGTACCATCCACAATCCTCTGAGTTTTCTCATCATTATGACCACCTCCCTGCAGAGTTAGGGCCTGAAAATGTTTGGTCTGGAGGTGGGACTTGGGAGTAAAATGACTTTCAGAACTTGAACTCTTCCCCATTGAACAAAGACCTAATTATTACTTGTGACTTAGCCTCGCCTGGAACATCTGTCCTGGCTGTTGTCAGGCATTGCAACCAGCTGGGAGGACTGGTAGACTTCATTGTCTATATGCAAGCCTGTTATTGACTTTATTTTCCTGAAGGAGAAACCAAGGTATCTAAGGTTTATTGATTTGCCTGTAGTGATTCCATGGGTCGGCAGGGAATAGAGAGTAAAACCAATTTCCTGGCATCATTTCCTAGGCATACAACCCTCTACCTTGCGATGCCTAGACTCAAAGCCAAGAATCCATCTTAGAGAATTTGATCAGAAAACATATGAAGGGTGATTCTGAAACCACAGAAGCATTGAGAAAGTCATAAAGATGTATAATATATGATAGCATTTACCGGCTATAAATAGGGAAATGCAGGGAGAAAAATAGAGACCTTGTAAATCCATTGGGTCAGGGAAATAGAAACTGCTTAATATTTCATTAAAAATGGATTTTCATAAATTATGCTTTTATATCTTTGGGCAAAAGACAATGTAAGAACTAAGGTGTTGTTTATTAATAATTTGAACTTGATTATTAATAATTTGAACTGCTATTAAACCAAACATCAACAAGGTGTATTCTCCTCTGAGTGGAGCACTCACTGTGTTCTGGGCATGATTTGAAGTGTATAAAAGTCCACAGCACTTGCCCATAAAAGCACTTAGGCTGGAAGGGACAATGGGTAACTAAAATGCCCCATTACAATGTGGGCTCTCTTGGGGCAATTCAAACCTCAAGCTAGATGGGAAACTCTGGTGAAGAAAGCCTTAGAAATGGGGGCCAGAAAGGACCTTGCAAGTCCCCATACAATAACCCTCATTTATCAGAAGAGGAAATTGGGGCCTGAGGGAGTCAGTGATATTTGCCCACATTTATGTGCTGATTTGCAGCAGAGTCTGGCTCCTGGCCTGATTCAGTGGTGTTTGGGGTTTTTTCCCACTACACCCCACTCAGAGTGAGAGGTGCAGTCAAAGTATGTCCAGACAGCAGCGCAGAGTTAGTGATGAGCACAAGATCAAAAGCAAACTCGGAGCCAAGAAGGAACTAGCCTTGGAAACATAAAGGATAACATGAGGCCAAGTTGAAAGAAGCTTATTTGGTTCCAGGGTAGAAGAGTAAGCAAAATGAAATAGCAGAATAAAATTCAATTTGCGCAGCCATGACAATAGCCTGGGGTAGAAAAACCACGTACTTGCTTGTCTGATGCCACTGTAGGCAGAGCCCAAAAGCCTGCAAACTTGGGGAGATCAGCCCCTGCCCCCCAGCAGGTGCAAACACAAATGCATGTGACCCCCGGCCACATTCCAGTCTCCCAAAGGCAGTCCAGAGACACAGTCATTTCTTTGCAGAGCAGAAAAAGAAATGGTTTCTTGGTTTTGTCTGCCAAGGTTGAAAAATGAAGGGGTCAGATAAGATAAAATTGGATATTAAAAACACATAAGACGTGCTGTGTTTCTAAACGGTACCAGTGTGCTGTGTATGCTGTGAATTAGCAACTGTGTTAAAGTTCAGGACCACTCACCACCCCGATTATGTTTTCACATGGCAAATCAGGCCCCCCCATCTGCACCCTTTACCACACACCGCCACCAGCACCATCCTAGGGGAGCCAGCCGGTGGCAGCCCTCCCGCTGCTCACAGCAACATAGAACTGAGCAAAGGGCTGCTGTTTGCATCTTTCTTGCCAAAATGAAACAAACAAACAAACAAACAAAAAAGCCTCTTCCTGGTGCTGAATTCTAGAACTGATGAATCTCACTTCCTTGGAATCATTTCCTCCATCCCTTCTCTCACCGCTTTGGAGTCTTTTGTAGGCACCGAGGAAGCCGAGCAATGGGGCTGGTGAGGCTTCCTGTGCCTGCTTCCTCCTTCCGGTCGTCCCTCTCAGAGATGAAAATCTCAGAGGCTTGGGCCTCTCCCAGAGGTCTGGCTCTCACCCTTGTTCTTCTGCTTTCTTGGCCCTTCTCCTTCCCATGTTTTGTCTCCTTGCCCTCTTTCTCCCCCAGCACTCTATAGGAAGCAGCCAGATCCCCCAAGTCCTGTCAACCAGTCCTTCCTCTATGCACCTCTGGTCAGCAGGATGGTAGAGGAAGACATGGGTGGCCTTAGGACCAGGGCAAAAGACTCCCCAGGGGAGAAGTCGTGGCAAGCTAGTCGTGGCAAGCTGAGTGGGAGCATCAGGCACAGGGAGGTTAATCTGAGTGTGGTGGCTGTGAAAACCTGTTTCTTTCCTCTGTCTGTCTTAGGCACTTCTCATTTGGTTGCAAAGGTAATGATGTCCCTTACCCTCGCCCCTGTGGTCAGTGGTGTGCTATGAAATGCCTGTAACTTTTGACCTCAACAAGTGGCAAATAGGGAGGGTTCAAGGTTGCTAAATGACAGAGTTCATGGGGAAGAAAGGACACATTGTGCATCGGCTCTGCGTTTCCATGCTGCTCTTTGCTGCTACCAGAGTGTTCCAAGCTGGGAGTATAACATCACTGAGCAGCGACTCCACCTCCACTCACCCCATGCTTGGAGCTCTTAGGGCCTCGGGACCCCTAGCCAACAACCTTTGTAGATAAGCTGCAAATTTATCAACTAGGAAATCATAAGCTTGAATCCTAGAAACATGGCAGAGGCTTTGGATCCAAATAGACATCTCTGAGCCTCCATTTCCTTATTGATAATGTGAAGCTAATAACACTTACACCACCACCACTCCCCCCCCACGAAGTGTTGTAGATGCGATTTTGTTTACACAGTGTCTGGCTCCAAGGCATTCAGATCTCTCAGTTTCCCCATTCCTTTTGTCCCAGCCCCTTCAGGGCACAAATACCTGCATGTTTGCCTCCTCCCCCACCCAGCCAAAATGGCTAGTTGTTGCAGAATTGCCTGTGAGTAGATTTATAGTCACTTGGTTGCTAAGCTGTGACAGTATGAATTAGAAGCAATGGTTGGTTCCTTGGTCTTTCCCTCCACCCTAATTCAGGGAACCCATGAGAAACTCATATACTTGCTCAAGCTACTTTTTTTTTTTTTTTTAATGGAGAGCACAAAAAACATAAGGTCCATATGGCAGTTATTGATTTGGACCATCTGGTAAACTCGGACTTGTTCCTACCATGTTGGATTAAAGCTACTCCAAAAAGCCTTTCCTCCCATAAGAGATGCATTGGTCAGATGGGGACAGGGATGGATTTCATTACAGGGTGGGGACTACAGTAAGAGGAAGCCACAGCAAGACTCCAAAAGATTGTCTGCAACCTTAACCCTAAAACAAAGACTGAGAGACCCAAGAAAGCATTGATTGACACGAGGGCATTGGGGGTAGATGGTGCCCCTTCACCCTCTCACCCATTCATGGAGCAGGGAGGTTTCTGAGTAACTAATAAAAACAATTGAAGCACTTTATGATTGTAAAATACTCTGCACATATCCCTATATGCCTGCAACACGAGAAAGAGAGAGTCAAGGTCAAGCTAACGAATGAGGTCCCTAGCTCTGAAAGATGACATTTCCGCTCCGTTTTCTAAAAGATAGTCTATTTTTTTTCTCTATCCCAGATTCTGAAAGTGTTTTCCTTTTCAAGGCGCCTTCCTCTGCTTGCTCTAAGCCCAGAGGCAAAATTTTCCTTGCCTCCAAAAATTTTTGTGAGGACCATTTATTGTTTTCAAGTTAGAGCAGGGCAAGAAATGAAATTTTTTCTTCATGGTGCTTCTGAAAAAGCCCCAAACAACAAATTCACGGATTACTTTTAAGCTTGAGGGAAATAAAATTCAAAAGGACTTTGCCACCCCCTTTGAAGAAGCCTGTACAAATGGCTAGCTACAAACAGGAATTTCAGTAATGTGGTTTTGGGTTTTATGTTACAGGTGTTCCAAGCCAACAATGACGCGACGGAGGTGGTTCAGAACAAGCTGCACACACCAGTGCTGACGAGGTTCGTCAGGGTTCGCCCTCAGACCTGGCACTCGGGCATCGCCCTCCGGCTGGAGCTCTTCGGCTGCAGGGTCACAGGTGAGAGGGCTGCCAACAGCATGATTATACCAATGACCTTTCCAGGATTGCCTCAAGGACTCAAGTCCTACCAGTCTGTCTTTTCATTCATTCATTCATTCATGCAGTGTATACTGATTAAGCATCTACTATTTCTGCTGGCTGACATATCCTGAATGCTAACTACATACCAGGTTCTGGTGTAACATTGAAGATAGGTTATCATAAGGACTCTATGAAGTAGGTATTTTTATTCTCCCCAATTTACAGATGGAGAAACCATCTGTAAAGTGATAGAGCCAGGGTTTGAATCTAGGCAGTCTGGATTCAGAGGCCCTGCTCTCAGATAGAACACTCTGCCGCTTCAGCGGAGACCAAGAATGTTCCAAGGCATTACAGATCCAGCGATGCACAGGACAGGTCCATTTCTGTGTGGTCATCTGAACAATTTGGGAAGAGGCGGTGATAAATCTGCAAATAAATATAAAATCAAAACTATAATAAATGTCTTAAAATAGAAATGCATTATAAGAGATTTGATATCAGGGTGGACTTTCTTGAGGTGATGACGGAGCAAGCACAGCGCGCTCACAGGCATTACCTGTTGATAAGAGGAGGGAATATGCACCAGAGTGGTCACGGTTTGCTCCACAGCACTGTGGCCAGAAAGGCCAAAAGATAGCGTGAAGGAGGGGTATGGTAGGTGAGCTGAGACCCCAGAGCTCAGATGCAGAGGACAGATTGGAGGAACTAGTGTGGGAAGCTGGTGCACTGGTATGGCTGAGTGGTAGTGGGTGACCCCAGGCTGTTTGTGCAAAATCTCAGCTTTCATCTTCTGGACTCAGCCCAGAGCATGTAACTTGCTTCTTTGACCTAGAAGGGCCTTCAGTGTACACCCACCCACCATCCTGTCCCTAATTGTCCCCACTCTGATAGGGATCCACCATGGTAAGCACCAGGATCCATGGTGCCCATCTTCCAGGGGTCACACCCAAGTTCATGGCATGACCATTTTAAGCTTCCAGTTAAAACACCTCTTTTTCATAGTGTCTGTATCTTTCACATTCCTTTCTTGTACGTCATCTCCTCTATCTTTGTAACAATGCTATGAGGTAAGAGGGGCACAACAGGCTTAAACAGCTTGCCCTAAGTCACCCAGCCAAGAAGTGGAAATACCGGGAACTGAACCCATAAACATGGGTACAACTCTTTGCCGCAGTCAGCGTTGTCCAGAGACCTGGCTGCCCTTTTATGGGAGTGGTTCATCTTAATCCCACCTCAGGGACTGGTTTCTGTCCCTCCACACTGCTATTCCAGGCCAGTGAGAAGTTAGTTAAAACTCATTTTCTAGAAAATTGAAAGGAATGGATTAGGACTTGGAGGATCATTTTGATCGGTAATTCAGTTTGCAGGTGTTTACTGCACACTGACTGTAGCCCCTGCCTTGGCAGAGACCATTCATTCATGCATTCTCCACTCACTAATTCACTCCACAAATATTTACTGAGGACCTGCTAAGGCCTGGCCCCACCCTGGGGCTGGGGCTTAGGCTCGAGAAGTGAGCAAAGTAGATGGGTCTCTGACATCATGGAACTTGAAGCTAGTGGCCAAGCTAGATAAGAAATGAGTGCAATGCTGGATGGTGGGAAGCTCACATGCATGCCTGGAGGGGAAGAGCAGGGTGGCTGAGGCAGAGGCAGAATGACTAAGGGGACCTAAGTGACTAACGACTGAGTAAGGTTAGACTGGTGCTGACTGGTTAGAGGTTAGTTTGGCCAGTGGGAACAGCACGGGGGAAAGAGGACAGGCAGTGAAAAAAATGGTATCACATCCATGGAAGTAAATGCCTGCCCCCTGGAAAGTTTCCATTCTCTTGAGAAAACAGTCACCCTGGTAGTTGTGCTCAGCTGAGTTCGCCAGTGTTTAGCATCCCTGGGGTGGGGCTAGGAGGGGGGATTGGTATCATAGACAAGGATCTCAGAGTCCTTGGCTGATTATTATGAACTTGTATATAGTAACTACTAGAATCCTTGAAACAACCCTCAAGAGGTAAGTGCTGCTGTTAACCTTCCTGTAGACCTAACGAAACTGAGGTACCGAGCAATTCAAACATTCGCCCAAGATCATAGAGCTAAACTGTGGAACAGAGCAATTCAGTCAGTTGTCCAAGGTCATAAGCTAGTAAGTGGCAGTGCAAACAGGAACCAGGCACTCTGGCTCACCGTCTGGACTCTTAGCTCCAGTGCTCCTCTAGCTAGAAATGCAAAGAGATCAGTGCTGACTTAAAGTGTTTGACAGTTGGGTTCTTTTACCTCTCCCTATTCAGTGGGGCAGAGGGGTGTCCTTCTGAGTGAGGAGGGTGTCAGCCATGACCTCTTGTATTTTCCTCACTCTCCACAGATGCTCCCTGCTCCAACATGCTGGGCATGCTCTCCGGCCTCATAGCGGACTCGCAGATCTCTGCCTCCTCCACCCGTGAGTACCTCTGGAGCCCCAGTGCTGCACGTCTGGTCAGCAGCCGCTCAGGCTGGTTCCCGAGGGTCCCTCAGGCCCAGCCAGGAGAGGAGTGGCTTCAGGTGGACCTGGGAGCACCCAAGACGGTGAAAGGCGTCATCATCCAGGGAGCCCGCGGAGGAGACAGCATCACAGCCGTGGAAGCCAGGGCTTTTGTGCGCAAATTCAAAGTCTCCTACAGCCTAAATGGCAAGGACTGGGAATACATCCAGGACCCCAAGACACAGCAGCCAAAGGTACATGTTCCTGGACGACCCTGTAACCTTACCCACACAGGGAGGTTAAGTTGGGGATGCCGAGTGCCTGTCTCGACAGTCATCACCAAGTCCCTACAATCCAACAAAGCAATTAGTTGAGAGATTACTTTGTGCCAGGCACTGTGCTAACTGCCTTATTTCAACCCTTGTTAAGGTTTTAGTCCTTACAATTCCTCTGGAACTTTCATTAGCTCCCAGAAGACTAAAGTAAGATTGATTTTGTGCAGGGTCACACAGGGTACCTGTGACAGAGTTGTGGTTCACACACCCATGTCTGATTCCAGAACCCAAAGGGATAATCACTCTCAACACTGCTGTTCTACAAAGTTCTGCAGCTTTATACCCTCTTTCAGATAAAGTTTCCTTAGAATTGGCCAAACATCCAAAGGGGATGTGGTTTTTGGAGACTCAACTATAGAAACCAGGGAATTATTTCCAAGAACAACCATGTTTTTCTGAATGTTGCTGCACCTCCTCTGTGTTTTCCTAGTCTTGACTGCTTAGATCTTTCCCGCTGCTCATGCTCCAGCTAAGCAGAGGCGAGAGAAACTTACTCCAGGCAGGAAGTGCAGGCCAGAGCAGCCCACCCTTCCTGCCATCGGAGGAGTGAAGGTCAGCCTTCCTCACGGGACACGAAGGCGCCCCAGAAAGGGGAGAGGCTGAGGCACCTCTGTCCCTCTCTGGTTAACCTCCAGGTTAGCCAGGAGTTCCGGTCTCCATCTCTGTTACCCCTCCGTTTCCTCAGAAGAGCAGGGCCCCAGACAAGGAAGGGGTATTACATGTCTCTGTTCAGCCCCCTTTGCTGAGCAAATATTTCCATTCCTAATGCAGACGCAAGGGCTGGGGTGGAGGTTTCGAAATGCTGATGTAAACTCCCAGCTCACAGTTCCAGAGGTTTAGAAATACTCTGGACTTGGTAACCAGAACCCTCAGTGGACAGAGCAGAAGTTGGACCACAGGCTTCCCCTGGGCTTGCTGACCCACGCTCTTCTTCACCAGTCTGTGGGCCTGGGAAAGGAGATGGTTTTAGCCCGACTGGAGCCTGCCCTCCCCCAACAGCGCCCCCTCTCTAGAATTGTGGAACCAGGTCATCCTGCCAAACCCAGGGTGCAGGGGGCTTCTGTAGCATTTCCAGGTGCTGAGCAGTCATAGCTCTGACTGGCCTCACAGCAACAATCCCCTAAATTAGTGGCTTCTAAGTGGCCTGGGGTCCCCACCTGGCTTCAACTGGGGCAGCCTCACTGTCAGCAGTTATATTTATCGGGGCTCTGAGGGAGGCTTCTTTATACAGAACTGCTCCCACTAAACAAACTTTGGGGGAACAGTCTTAAAACTATCAATGTGTGACCACAGGACTCTGCTTTTAGCTTAGAGAAGGGGGTTGTCCCTTTCCTTGCAGCCTCTCAGGGAACCGGGCTAGCTGTAATTGACCATCAGTCAATTATAACTATCTATGTCTGTACTCTCAAGAATTTCTTTTTCGGGGCCTCCCCGGTGGCGCAGCAGTCGAGCGCTGGGTTGCGAAGCTGCCCGCAGCCTCTGCAGCGCCGGTTCGATCCCCGGCTGCTCCCTGGCCACCAGAGGAGGGTCCCACATGGCGCGCAGACCTCCCCTGCCGCCCGCTGCTCCCCTCAGCAGTGTACTTCGGTCCTTCTGCCTGCTCTGCTCCCCGCTCTGGCTCTGGTGAATTCTCTCACCCTCCCGCGCTTCTGACTGTACCCAGTGCTTGTATAAACAAATAAATGAATATTTAAAAATAAATAAATAAAGGCAATCACTTTCTTAAAAAAAAATAAAATAATTTCTTTTTTGGATAAACTGAGAACTTCACCAGGGGCAAGGCAGCCTAAATGCCCTTCTCTTCTCCAGCCAGGCATCTGGAGACTCATTGGGAGCCGAATTCCCTAGGCCTCGGTTTCGGTCCAGGATAAAAGACAGAACCTGGCAAAGGCCACTTCCCTCTGCTCCCTATTTTCCATGTCTGCCCCAGCCCCCTCCCAATGATTGAAGACCTTGACCTGAGAATGGGGCTTCAAGGGCTCATCATGTCCACCTCATGAGTCAACCCTGTGGTTGCCTTCTGCTTGACTGTGTGGAGCTGGGAAGAGATGGGCAAGGAAAGAAAGAGATGGGGAGAGGACAGGGTCCCCCATAAGAAGGACTGAGCCCCCTGTCTCCCCTACAGCTGTTTGAAGGGAACATGCACTACGACACTCCCGACATTCGAAGGTTCGACCCTATTCCGGCGCAGTACGTGCGGGTGTACCCCGAGAGGTGGTCGCCAGCGGGCATTGGGATGCGGCTGGAGGTGCTGGGCTGCGACTGGACAGGTAAGGCCCTGCTTTCACGTCCATCTCCCGCACCTGGTCTGGTGACGTTGGCTTCTCGGGATGCTATGGGAGGAGGTGGAGAGGGGCAGAGGGAGCAGCTGTCCCTTGTCAAACCTTGTCAGCTAGAAACCCTGCGGCCCCCTGCCCAGGCTGGATGCAGTATTCTCCTGCCTCAAAGCTTGGGCACTGGAGCCTCTGGACTCAGGATGGTTTCTCAAGGGATGTGTTTTGTCTTTTTTGAAGGATCATTTCAGTTCTCCAACCCTACTCTCTCAAAAACAAATCATAACCACACACCACCCACCCAAATTCAATTAGACCCTGACTCTTCAGGCCAGAGGGCTTTGGCTGTTGATTTAGGGAAGAAAAAAAACCCCTCATGATAATAAAGTAATCGGTTTATGTCTGAATCTGGTCTCCAGATGTCAGTGGCTGAGAGACTTCATTTTCATTTGGAAGCCACATCTGTAAAAGGCATTTATTTGCTCAGGAGGGACTTTGTTGCGGGGGAGCTGATGGGAACAAAACTTCTTCCAGAGCAAGGCAAGAGTGTTGTTCATTCCTGTCCCTGCCAGGTGGCCAGGCTGCGGGCCAGGCTATCTCCCTTCGTCGTGCCCGTGAGTCCAGGGAGCACGCCCGGCCCTCCTTGTTTCCCAGAAAGGGCCCATCCTGCTGAGTCAGCCCCACCTGTCCTCACCACTAGACAAAGCTGGCACTAGATCTCCCCAGGTGTTCCTCACCGCCCACAAACAGAGCTGGGGGAGCCACTGACCCCAGTGTCTGCAGGAGCAGCAGGCAGGCTGAGCCATCCTGTCCTTTCCTCCAGGGCCCCAGGTAGCTCCATTTTCCTGTCTGAGCTGTACCTGTCACCAGCTCACCCAGCAGGGTGTTGTGAAGGATTAATAAGGGCATGTCGGATAAGTGCTTTTGGCTCCCAGGGAGAAAAGTGCTGCCTGCGTGCTGACTGGGATGGTGCAGAGGAGTCCCGTCGAGGCACGCAGGCCAGGAGTCGGGCCCAAATTAGCCTCTCTCACCTTTGGAATAAAGACAGCCCCAGTGAACAATTTTAGTGGGAAGACATTTTACTCCTCATTATGTAGGGGTGAGGCCAAGTTTCCCTGCAGCCTGCTGCATGCACATCACCTGTGTGCTCACAGGTGCTGAAAACTGTCCCTCCAATAGCAACACAAGCTGACTGTGTATGTGGCCTCAGAATCAGGGGAGACCTGGTGCTTCTAGACCAGGGGCTTTCAAATGTTTTTGACCGTCACCCCCAGTTTAAAATCAATTTATGTCATGAACCACTTGACTTGCAAGCACACACACAAGCACACACATGTGTGTGCATATGGGGTGGAGTGTATTGTTAGTGTCTGGACTCTGGGGACAGATTACCAGGTTCTTTTCCTGCCTCCGCTGATTGCTGGCTGCATATTGTCAGACAAGTTACCTCTTCCCTAACATCTCACTTATCTGAGCTGAGAGATGGGAGTGACCATAGTGTAGCTGTGCCTGCAAGAGTTGTTATGAGGATTATGTAGAATAATAGCTAGATATTAGATGAAAGTACCTATACTGATGGCACCAGTACATAAACCTGTCATGAGAAGTAAATGCAACAAAAAAGAATTTTCCCAAAGCAGTCCTCATCCTTGCCATAGGAGTACACTCTGAAATATCTTAGTCCATATTTTTTAAATGCTAGTCATGACCCAATAATTTGATTCCACAACCTATTAATGAGTATGACATATGTCCAGAAAAAAATTACACTTCTCAGCCAACATCTCTTTCACAGATGGACAAACTAAGTCCCAGAATGATGGAGCCACTTGCCAGAGGTTGCCCAGCTAGCTGGGGGCTGGCTGGTTCATGTTTCTCTCATCCTTTGCCCTCCACGCCACACCTCTCCCAGGCTGGCCTACAGGATGACCATCTGGATAGTAGCTAATGGCCTCATCCACTTACTGCTCCCCCAGCCCAGCTTGGCCCAAATGATACTGGCAATGGCCAGCAACAGGTCTGTCCTTACAAAGTCCTGCCTGGCCACTCCTTGGAAGATCAGCGTTAGGGCTTGTTACCCTCTGCCTGGCCTCCTTCTTTGAAGTCTCTAACATCTGGTTTCAATTGTGGGGGAGCGTTGCAATTTGATGGGCAGTGACCTCTAGCGCCCCGTGCAAACACAGTGCACCAGAGGCCAGCTGCTGTTTCTCCACTTGCCTGCGCTCGTCCTGCCCTCTTGTTGCCACGCCAGCTCCCAGTCCCCTGCGTTTAAGTTTGTCTTCATCAACCACTTACCCATTTTACTGCTGTATATTTCTGAAAACTGTTCCCCTACACCAGGTGGCTTCTTCTGCTTTTCAAATTTCCATTTATTCCTGCAACTCGTCCTTGGTTCACTTCTTCATGCATACCCCAGAAGGATACCAGAAAAATAATGGGCTGGTTGAGATGCCACAGCTAAATAATTTGACAGGGCAGCTTCACCTGTTTGTTTGTGTTTCAAATGATTACTTCCTGCCTTGCCTCCCATAGTTTGCTTTACAATTGAGTTTGAGATTCTGCGACACAGTGACAAATTTGAACTTACAAATTAGGACGCTTCGAGGTTATTTGCTATTTACCGTGAGCAAGAGGCGACATGGCAAAGAGAAGTATGAAAGGTTATGTGCGTAGTGTTTAATAGCAGAAAGATGGGAAGTCGACCGTGAAAAAGCTATTCAGCGTATTTAGTGATTCCTTCAGCTCCTGGCTTTATTAAATGGTATCCTGAAGGGAGCCTGACAAAGGCGCCTAATCACATACAATAGTGCGGAAGAACATCCTCAGAAATGGGAGGAACAATGCTCAGGCTTATTCAGATAGTCTGGTTGGAGGAGGACTCTGGGATGGGGACCCCACCCCACAACACACGGACTTGAACACCAATTCCTAGGATCCCTTCCACCCCACCCAGGGCCTGACTCACCCTTTTATTCATTTCATAAATGGCTGCTGAATGATGACAAGTGGTGTGAGCAAACCGACAAGTGAGTGGATAGCTGAATGAATCACCTAGCGCCCAGGTCAGAACCGATTGCCTGCAACCAGGTTTGGCCCAGCCAGGTTTTGTTGCGGGCTACTTGTTAATATATTTTGAATCAGTTGCCAATGTTGACAAGTCTGGAGTTTTTCTATGGAGATATTTGGCTTCATGTGGGGAAAAAATTATTTTTCATTTTTAAACAGATACAATTTAAGTATCAATTTACCACTGAAAGTATACAATTCACTGTTTGCTAACAAAGTCACTGGGTTTTACAATATTTTATAATTTTACAATATTTTGGCACCCCCTGAAAGCTTCGTGCACCCATTAGCAGTTCAATCCCCATGGGCCCTCTCTCCGAGGTCCTTGACCTACTGCAGGTCTCCTATCAACCACAGGCCACAGAGCCCCTGGATACCTCCTCCCCCACTCTTTACTCTCCCCACACCCCAGTCAACCTCCCTTGCTTATGTAGCTCTTTCATCCAGGAAGCTTTTGAATTTGCCACACCCAGTGTAACGGCACAGCACCAAATTACTGTGACCAAGTGGAGTCTTAAGTCCTTTGAATCCGTGTACCTTCCATCCAGTTTGGTGCAAACAAGGAGAGCAGTGTCTCAGGTCCCCCCTCCCAAGCTTTCTGCCTTAGCCTGTGACTTTGGAAAATGTGCTTCTGATAATCTTGTTATAGGTCGGCCCCCTGGGTCCAGTTAGCTTTGGTTCAAAATAAGTTCTGACTGACACCAAAGGCTGGAAAGAGAAGGTGTATGCCAAGTGAAAGCAGGCCTGGCACGGCACCCAAGGGGCATGCAGACAGGCATTTCCACATGGTAGAAGCTCAGCTCATTAACCACTGAGATTTTTTCAAACTGTTGTGGATGGGCAGCCTTCATTTTGTGTGGACACATCACCCACGCCCGTCTTAAATGGAATGCCCAGAGTACAAGCTAGCCCGACCTTGGGGTCAGCATCGCCCCATCCGGTCCTGTCTCTAGTGGCCTCTCTGCTGGAGTAGAGCGTGGCTCCATGTTCAGGCCTCTGCCATGGCTGTTTCTACAGCTCAGGACCAACCTGTTCAACTGAGACAATGACGCACCTGACCTCACTGGCTGTACACAGAGGCGACTGGGGGGGGGGCGGTGTATGTGTCCATATTGGTTTTCCTTTCTTTTGCCCTCTCTAAATGCTCTCACTCACTTTGGGCATCGTCTCTTGCTGGGTTTCCACACTGGCCACCATGGCACTCACCGTCCTTATTTTTCCTTTTACAGACACAAAGCCCACAGTCGAGACACTGGGACCCACTGTGAAGAGCGAGGAGACCACCACCCCATATCCCATTGACGAGGAGGCCACAGAGTGTGGAGAGAACTGTAGCTTTGAAGATGGTGAGAGTCGGGGTCAGAGTCACACTTCTTCCAGATGGCATGGGTGCCCACCTGGCAGGGCTGTGGCTGGGCAGGAGCCTGGGGGAGCCCTGGAGCAGAGGTCAGGGAGAGGCGGGTACTCAGAGGTCTGGGACAGTGGCTATTTACAGCCAATCTAGAATCATTCAGATATTAGAATAACCAGCCCAGGCCTATGGGTGTGAGCCCACAGGTAATCAGTGGAAATAACGACCCACCTAAAGAGGACTTTTCCATTGAGATGTCTTCTGCTCTAGCCATCAGTTCTCACCCTTAGAATCCACAGCCATGGTGGTTTTTCCAGTTAAGCTGCGTCTCCACCTTACAGTCTTTTGAAGAGATGGTGGTCATTGGGCAACTAGGTCAGGGGAACATGTAGTCGGTGGCTCAGCAGTTAACCATGACTTAATTGCCTGTCACCACCGCTGACTGAGAAAGCGTCGCAAACCCCACTGTAATACAGCACATGCCATCCGCAGGAGGTGAAGTGCGGAAACATGGAAAGACACCTCCATCTTCAACACTCAGGGCCTCCTCCTTTTGGATCACCCTCTTCCCATGGGAAATCTGTATTATTTCACTTTATCTTCTAACCATATCCAAGTTAGATAAAAATAATAATTGGCAGAACCCAAAAGTACGTCACATTTTGTTTTTCATCTACTGCTTACAAGGTTGCCCGGTATGACGGCTTTCCTAAGAAACCACAAATTTTGGAACACCTGGCATTTTTGGCTAGAACTTAATGCTTGACAGCCTCAATTTACAGTAAATTACTGATCATTATTAAACGTTCATTAAACAAAATGAGGGAAGATTGGCGAAGAGATTTGGGAAGTGATGGAGACAAAGATGCAGCCCCAGGTTCAGTAGGTAGATGTGAAATCTGTCAAACCGGCTCGCTCAGCCTCTCTGCAGCGTGAAGCCGGTGCTGATGGCGTGGACACTCCACAACATGGCCACAGACAAGAGTGGGAGGGAAGCCAAGAATAAATGCTGAAGTTGTGGGACTGAAAAATGGTAATGTAATGCATATGCTTTTAGGAATGTGCTTTTGTACATTGTGTGGGCGGGGGGACATCATTGGTCAGGGTTAGTTGAATACAGAATTCTGACATTTTAATGTACTTGTTTTGTTTTACAAAGAAAAGAGACTTCTAGAGTCTTCCAAAAACAGGTTTAAGATAGTTTGAGAGCCAAAAGCAGAATGCACAGAGAGTTAATATATGATACTGGATTTAGCAGAGTTCACTTGGTGGAGGACAGGAGGAGAGGTTTCTATCTAAATAGTAACCCAAAGGAAAATTTCAGGGTTCTGCTGCAAACTTTCAGAAGTTTAATATAATTTCCCCGTTTATAGTGGTTTGTTTTGTTTGAGGTTTCTTTGGTGGTTCCTCCCTTCTCTTTTTTTGCAAAAGATCTTTTTGTGGAATTTGGTTCCTGAGATACAGTACGCATGTAAACATTAGAGAGGAATTATGGTATATTGAATTACTCCATCTTTTTGAGCGGAAAAATAGAAATTCAGAAATTGTCGGGAGAAGGGGATGGTAAGGGCTAAGAACTGACTTTTCCAAGCCACAGGTTGATGCTTCCATAATAGATTCCATGTGTTTTTTTTCTCCACTCAAGCTGACTTTGGCCAAGGGTGGGCAAACATTAAATCTCCTCTCTCACGGAAGGGAGGCACAGACAGAGCCTGCTGGCAATCTGACCCCCGAGGCTAGCAGGGCCCTTGCCCTCAGAGGTGAGGCCTCCTCCCCAGGGAGCAATTTATTTCTCCAGTTTTTTGTTCCCTTCAGATTTCCAAATCTGCGTTCTAGGCCTTCCCCCTAGAAATTGCTCTCTGGAAACCTTGAGAAGGTAGTGAGAAAGCTAAAGACCTCACTTCCTCCCTGCTGCCCCTATTAGCCAGCTCTTTCCCATTGTTTCAGCAGCTACTGCCATGAGGCTCCACATTTGGGTTTCCATTTCCTCCGTTCCCTCCCCTCAGGAGTCCCCCACTTTATCATCTAGTTGGTACCGGCTCACAGTAGATGTTTAGAACTGGATGGACCCGCAAAAAAAAAACTTTTGGTCCAGTCTTCTGGCTTACTCGGGTGAACAACAAAGTCGATGGGACAAAGTTGTATAGTCGTGTCTTAGGTGTCCACGAGGGACGTGTTCTCTCCTCCCAGAACCTCTGGGAGCTAAACTTCAGGTGCTCGATGCCATGTGAAATTGTTCTCACTGGCCAGTGCTGAGCGGGTGACTGGCTGGTCTGGACTGTTCATTTTGCCCTAACATGCCAAGTCACCGGCCCCCAGAGATGCCAGACTGACCCAGCCTTCTGAGACAAGAGTCCTATCCCAAAGAGGTGTGAAGGGGAGCAAACAGGCCTGCCTCGTTTCTGCGGTCACTCCTCCCTGGCCAGCACATCCCCTGCATTTCAGCCTCTCTGGATGCTAACAGGCTGCCCCATCACTTCTCAGAGGCAGGTTGGCAGGAGCCAGCCTGCCATTGAGGCGCTAGGGAGACATTCTTCTCTGGCATTGAGGGAACAGCGATTTTTACATTTGTCTGCTCTCTGAGGTGGACAGAAGAGGCTGATTAGAGCCCGAAGCCATTTGGCGGCCTCATTTATAATTGCTTACTATGGGAACCACTGGCAGGCTTGGCTTTCCTGCCTGGGAAGGATGAGACCAAAGGCTGACCCGAAAGCCAGCAATCGCCAAGATGAGTTAAATGAATAAGCAAGGGAGCCTCTTCTTTCTCACTTCGCTACTTAGGCTTTGCCAGCCATTTAAATAGCACCACTGTGGCTGTTCTCTGAGCCCATTTCATTTGCTTTCCTTTGGATTTTTCTCCCCTTCTAGACAAAGATTTGCAGCTCCCTTCAGGATTCAACTGCAACTTTGATTTCCCTGAAGAACCCTGTGGTTGGATGTACGATCGCGCCAAGTGGCTCAGGAGCACCTGGACCAGCCCTTCCAGCCCAAACGACCGGACATTTCCAGGTACGCCTTTGTCAAGAGTTCAGGGAGAGGGAGGGAAGCGTTCAGGCCAGCCTGCTCCATATTTTTCAGCTCAGACTCCCTGACAAACTTCAAAACTTCTCACCACAGAGCAGTCCTCTGCCCTCTGCCCGCAAACTGCCACAGTCTGCTCACGTCACCCCACCCACAGCAGAGCTGTTTGGTGGTGCTTTCGCCCTCTCTGTGATTACAGTGGAGGCTGGGAGGGATCACGGGAAGCCAAGATAAAAGGAAGAAGAGGAAGGAAGAAGGAGCAGTGGGGAGGTCCTGGGAGATGGGCAGAGTCAATGTCCCCTTGTTCCCACCGCCAGCACAGCCTCCACCATCACAGAGCCTCTTCTCAGCTCCCGGCCGGGTATTGTTCCTAAAATGGTAGGATACTACCGGCCTCGAGTCTGACTGATACTTCTCTAAGGCTTTCATCGCCTCTGTAGCAAACCAAGGCAAGGGACTGAAAAGCTGCCACACCCGTGGGTGTCTAGCCCAGCCGTCTGGCACTTGGCCTCCAGGAGGATGCCGCTGCCAGCCCGATGTATTAAGCCACCCTTTTGGCTGCAGAGGGCCAGGCTCCAGAAGACTCTCTGGCACTGTTGATAGCAGGGCTTGCCGTTAGCCCTGCTGAACAGCGAAGGTTGTGTGCTGTGGCCGCTGATGCATGCTTAGACAGTGGTGCTCTGGTAAATGTTTAATAACCAGCTCTCCAGGGATTAAAAAAAAAGTCTGCCTTGTAATATTTGCCACTTTCGGTGGTGTAAATACTCCCACAGTGGTGGAATTCAAACTACCAACATGATGTCATGGGGGTAGAGTTGAGAAGCGCGGTAACACAGCATTAAATAGTTTCTCCCCCACCCTCCCAGGGGACAGATACACAAGCTCTAAATAACGCAGGGAGCATCCGTGCAGGTAAAATGTGTTAAAATAATAAGAAAGCGTTGAGTTTTCATCATTTGTTACCTTTAGTTTTGATAGAATTTATTTCATTGTCACTTTATATCATTTAATTTTCAGTAATGATTGCATTTAACAACTGGCTTGCAAAATTCCAGAAAGTTTAACAAGCCGGTATGTGTTGGCTCCAGCACACCACTCATTAGCTTCCAATTTTCCCACACCCCTGGTCTGGACTTTAGACACCCAAAGGATTTGAGAGGAAAGGGGTTAATTCTGGAAATTAGTAGATCAAATGTTGCACGACTAGGGAATGAAAGGGGAAAGGAACCTCCCCTCTGCAAATCTCCCCCAAGCTGCTGCCTTGAGCTGCTGCCTCTCCCCACCACCAAGGGCTGGACGGGTCCTCTGTTCCCTGGGGACAGCAGGGGACAGATGCTGGGAGGACAGTAAGGGCCAGCCTCCTGACACAGCCTGCACTTGCTTTCCCCGAGGGTCACAGCGTCTGCTCTAGAGAAAAACATTTTCATATTTCAAGTGTTTATCTCTTCAGCTTTTGAGTGCTCAGAGAGATTAATATCTGAAGATCACCACGGCCTCGGGCAACAGGAGAGAACACTTACCCTCATCCCAGCCTTAATCACCCTCCCCCCTCTTGTTCACTGCAATAATGTTTAATTAATATAATGAGCCTCCTGCACGTTGGAAAAAAAAATACTTATTTTTATAACCCAGGCTGGATTTTTCATTTCATTTCCTCTCCTTTGAGACTTGGCCCAATTAATTGGTTGTTTTTCCCAACCCCCACTTTTAATCTGAACATAAAGAAGGTTTGTGGGGTATGTATCTGTCCGTGTACACACAGTGTATTTGTGTGTATGTATTTGTAGGTATTTGTAAGATGTGTGTATTTATATGTATTTGTAAGATGTGTGTATGTTTGTGTTTCCTTCTTAAGATGTTTCTGTGTTTATGTAGATGTATGTAAATATATGTATGTTTGTATGTGAGTTTTACATGTGAATCTGTGTGTGTGATTTGTGATGTGTCTGCCTTTCTGTGTGTTTGTGTGTGTGCTGTGTTTGTGTATCCAGGCAGCTTGGCAAAGACACTTGAATAAAGGAATGTACATGACACAGAGGGCAGAGATTTACTGGCTTCTATTCAGGCACCATCTTCAGTTTCTTTCTAATAATTCCATTCTCCTCCCTTGCACTCTTCTACGCACACTTTCTGAAGCCAACCCTGTCCAGGCTACAAAGTCACCAATTAGCAAGTGACACTTCTGGGAGAGCTGAAGTTACTCTGTGTTCACCCCTGGCCTCACCTCTGCCCTTTGCCCACTCACCTCTGCTTGCCCCTGTCCCAACCCTGCCCTCACCTGAATCCCTGCCAGCCGACCCTAGCTACTGGTTGGGAATTCTAGTCCTTGTCCTCATTCTAGTTGATTCATTACACCCTGCGGTTTGGGAGGCCTTTTCAGAGCAAGTTTGCAAAGTGGGCAGAATTCCAACCTTTAGCTGAATGGATGGGGACAGAAAGAAAATTAGGGCCATAAGGAACTGCTAGATCTAATGTTGTTTCTCCCTTAAGATATTGAGAAGGAAAATAATTATTTTCCTCTTCCAGAGGAATCCCTGAAGTTTGGAAAAGTGGCATTTGTAACCTGCCTCTGGAAAACAAAATCATAATGTTGCTCTCTGAACCTTCCCTCTGGCCTCTGGTGCCTTTAAACATCATTTGCTGCATTTCCCACTTTGCTTCTCCTTAGCAGACTAGCCACCAGGCTTTAACTGGAGAAGATAGAAAGCCCTTTCTGTTCAGGGTGGTCCTTTCTTTGAAAAAAAAAAAGGGGGGGGGGCCTGAGGGGAGCAGTTGGGAGAGAGGAAACAGCTGTGCTTGGCTAGGGGCAGGGCAAATGCTAATGGGTTCAGCCCCTGGACTTTCCAAGTCCAACCTGAGACCCCGGTGTCACCCCGCCTTGCCGCTCTGCAAAGAGGACCCCAGTGTGCTCCTTCGCAGAAGCCTGCCCTCTCTTTCATCCCCTTTATTTGAGACATAAACAAAACTAATGAAATTTAGGAGAGGAGGGAAGTCCATCTCATGTGGAAGCACAGGGGTAGGAGGGATAGGAGAAAAGGAAAGAAAAAAAGGAGCTAGCTATGTTGAAATACCGTACCCGGGCTGTTTGATTGGAAGTGTCTGTGAAAACTACTTACATTCCTTAGATGTCTTCTGATTTAGTTGTTTTCTCTTTCTCTCTCTTTTTTTTTTTCTTTTCCTTTTAAGTAAGCAATTAGTTCTGTTCTTTTGGCCGGTGGTAATGGTCGCTTAAGGCTGACAAGACACCCACTGGTTTCATACCACTGTTTTTGTTTTTCAAGCTAGTCTTTCAAGCCACTCAGAATTTCTTTTTTTAGCTTTTTGCCTGTGGCTTAGAAGCTTGGAGTGTGTTCTTTCCAGCCCCTGGGGACGCTGTTCCAAATTCAGTGACCCCTGTGGCTCAAAGGAATCGGTCCCATGTTCCAGAAGCCACTTTGCCTTTTCTCAGTAGCTACAATGACACAGAAAGTATGTCCCCTAGCGGGAGCAGCCACATTTTCTACAGACATCCTCAAGTGTGTTGAGCACAGTTTTGAGGAAGATCAGATTTAGGTCTTTAAGGAAAAGGCAAAAATTCTTTGAATTGATATAGGGAGCTCATGTGGCTAGAATTGCATTGTTTAATATGGTAGCCACTGGCCACATGTGGCTATTTTAATTTTAATTAATTAAAATGAAATACAGTGAAAATTTGCCCCACTTTTCAAGAGCTTAACAGCCCACTCTGTTGAAAGGCACAGAGAGAATGCTCGTCCATCATCACGTGAGGTGGGCTTGGTCTGGAGCCTCTAGGCAGTGACAGATGTGAGGGTAACCTCAGGGCCCTTGCTCATGCTATCGCTCCCTGGTTTTGTGTAAACCAAGAACCAAGTTATTAGGGGGACGTGCCTACTCTTGATCCCATGGTGGGAGTGTTTGGCGGCTGGTGGTTTCGGCATTGTGTCACTAACTCCGTGAGCAACTGTAGTAAAGCAAGCAAGTAACATAGCATTAGATGGTATAGGAGTTATTTTATTCAGTAAAAAGCACATCCTAATACTAAGTAATACAACAAGAGTGGCATCATCATTATTATTATCAGGAATGAGACAAGAAAAAAAAATTAGATATAAAGGGTAGCAAGCCAGGCCAACTTCACAACTCTAATGTGTGGTCTTGTACACATTTGCTGACCTGGTGAAGTGTGATCAGTGTATTACTTCATTTCTGTAACTGCAACTCATGGACTGATTAAAGCCTGTGTGAAATAGTATGCCATTCTGAATGTTGGTGCATTGGCTGCCTAGAATTCTGTTTATTGGATTGTGAGACCAGAACCTTTACTCTTGAGTTCAAATATGTTAAAGCTCTAGTAGGAGTAAGTCAAGAATCCTCATGTTCTGAAATATTCAAGTTTTACAAATGATAACTGTTCCATCATATGTAAACAGTAGACTTGTTGACTTTCGTGGGGCTGTTTTGATTAGAACACTGAATAAACACCATTAGAATGGAGAACCTGCATGGATTTGCTGTGAGACGTGACACAAGAAGACTCAGTATGGGTAGGTAGATGATGGCAGTGAATTCAAAGATAATAAGTGATGAATGAATTTGATTTGATGGCCTTCATTTTTGACTGTGAGCTCTTAGTGACTCTGTGAATTAAAAAGCAGCTATCTCAATCTAATGACCTCTTCTGTAGGCGCAACTGATGGCAACACACGTCAGGCTAGGGATTGGCATTAGTTTGAATTGCTTCAGAAAGAGGTTGCTGTGGCTTGGCTGGGGCTTTGCAGGCACTGCAAATAACCAACATGAGAACTTCTTGGGCTTAGACCATGAAGGATAATTAAAGACCAGAAACAGCTTGGCTAAAAGAAAGCCAATATTCAAGGAAAAACTTCAGCTGGAAAAGGAAAGCACAGAGGCCCTTCTTTGAGGAAGGCTGAAAAACATCTCTGACTCTGTAGAAAAGACAGCAGTAGAGAGGAGAAGCTGTTACTCCT